ATGCTGTGCCAGAGGAGGGTCTCTCACATTTGTGCCTAAATGCGAGTCTAACATGATGCATTTCTGAATGAAGGTCCAACTGCAAAAACCTTCATGAGAAATGGTGTCATACCAAATAACACCACTTATACCTTAGATGATATGATTACCAGGAAAGAGATAAAGGTTGCCTTAATTTTGAAAAAAAAAAAAATCCATTTAGGGGCTGGTGGGATGGTTCAGTGGTCTGGGGCACCTACTTAGAACAAGCTTAGCAAAACAAAGGGACCATGGTTCAATCCCCCAGCACTGCATGCCAGCCAGCCCCGCCCCCTAGTAGGCTGAGCTGGCCACACACACACACACACACACACACACACAAATAAATAAATAAAAATTTTTTAAAAATCCATTTATATATTGCCAGTGCTTCCTATAACTGTAAGCCTCAGTCTGGATAATCTGTATAGAGGTTCTTTCAGCATGGGGTTCTGGGCATGCAAGGTCAAGCAGCTTCATCTGATGAGCGGACCACCATCTTCCTTGTGGAGATTCTCTGCAGAGTTGGGCAGATAGAGGTCCACAAACACTGAGTCAAGGTGATGTTCTAAGTGTTCTACTTGACAGATGCCCTAGTAAGTCATTCATCTATGACTGAATCACTCCATACATGACCTAACCATGTCTCTTTAAAAATTTTTTTTTTTTGTGTGTGTGTGTGTGTGTGTGTGTGTGTGGCCAGCTCAGCCCACCAGGGGGCGGGGCTGGCTGGCATGTGGTGCTGGGGGATTGAACCGCGGTCCCTGTGCTTTGCTAAGCTTGTTCTAAGTAGCTACTTTAGACCACTGAGCCATCTCACCAGCCCCACTTTAAAAATTTAGATAAGCTTTTATTTATGTATCATTTGGTACAGGGTCTTGCTATGCAGCTAGGATTCATGTGATCCTTCTGTCTCAGCCTCCCCAGGGGTGGGATCGAAGGCACATGCCACAACACCCACTTTTTCTGGATGGCATAGCACAACCACAATTCTGGGGCTAGCATGGCAGGGATCGAAACTGGGTCCTTGCACTGGGCAGCCAGGCACTTAGACTGTCGAGCTTCTCCCCAGGCTTAAGCATCTCTTAAAGATACTTCCACTACCAAGTATTCAACGTTTCCAAAGGAAATTAGATTTTTTTTTTTTTTAATTTGTGTGTGTGTGTGGCCAGCTCAGCCCACCAGGGGGCGGGGCTGGCTGGCATGTGGTGCTGGGGGATTGAACCACGGTCCCTGTGCTTTAGCTAAGCTTGTTCTAAGTAGGTACTTTAGACCACTGAGCCATCTCACCAGCCCCAGGAAATTAGATTTGAATATGAGGTCTGAGATGGATGTTGAAATCATAACAGATTATATAGAAAAATAAAACAGTAAATGTAGCTAGTGCATCTCTGAAATACGAAGAGAATGTAGTGCAACTGGCAGTAAAATATATTGTATTGTAAATCCTGAATAATGAAAAGATTATGATGGTGTTGGTACTCCATTAGATAAACTAAAGTCAAAAAATTCCTAGATCAGGCCCAGCCAGATAGCTCAGTGGACTAAAGAGCCTGCTTAGGCAGAGCACAGTGGCCAGGGTTCCATCCCTGGCATGCAGTGCTGGCCCCGCCCACTGGGCTTTCTGAGACAGTGATTTAGGCTGGGCGTGGTGGCGCATGCCTGTAATTCCAGCTCTTGGGAGGCTGAAAACAAGAGAATCACTAAGAATCCGATCTACATAGTGAGACCCTGTAGACACTGTAGAGTTTGTAGTTAAAGTATAAAAAAAAATAAAGAAAAGAATTCCTAGATCCAGGAATGGTGGTCTGAAACAAGAGGATGGCCATGAGTTGAAAGGCATCCTGCACTACACAGTCTTAAGACCACCAGAATTGCATATCAGGACTCCTCCGTCTTAAAAAACAAAAAATCCTCAATACTGAGCTATACACAAATATATATGAATGTATAAATATGAGTTGTATGTTATCTGTCATATTGCACTGTATTTAAGTCAGTGGCTAAAACCACAGGTCAGAGGGTAAAGACTGTACCTTAAACTCAGGGAATGGATAGAAAGTAGGAGAAAGTTACACTGTGATTTGTACTTCATTATATCCAAACAGATAGAAAATGACAGCACTGATTTAGACATAAAACATAGAATCTCAAAATCTGCTGAAAAAAATCAAGGGAAATTTCTTAGCTAGGAGTTAAAATTCACAATTATAAAATAAATGAAACTGTTGTTTGTTTACTCTGACACAGGTTTTTTATGTAAATCAGCTGAGTTTGAACTCACTCGTGTAGCCCAGGCAGGATTTGAACTCATGATGCCTCTCTGGTCTCAGCCTTCCAAGTGCTGGGAACACAAGCGTCCATCACCATGCAGGCTGAACATGAAGTCTTGCACAGCACAGATAGTAAGAGTGAGGTCCAAAGTCACAGAAGAAAATTTTCTGCTAGTGCACAGAAATCAAATGTTCACAGTGTATCTATAAGCTCCTAACACACAGAAACCAGCACCTAGAAAAGGCCATCCTACTAGACCAAGGGACCTTAGACTGCCTACATATCTCATTGAGAACTAGGTGTATTGTAAACAGGCGTGGATGGCTGTCCTTAGGCCCTGCACAATGAATATCCTGAGACTGAAGATCTTTTTTACTGTCGTGATGGGCCATGTAGTGGATTTCTAACAGGTGGTGCTGAGTGAAGGAGGCCCATTGAGGACTGTTGGTAGCAGCATAAAGGCGGAACAGGAGAAGCTACGGAAATGCTGTTAGAGATGCTGTTTTGGAGAAGCTGTTAGAGCTGCTGGAGGCTGCTAGAGCCCTTGGGCTGTTCTGCTGGGAGAGCTGGTCACACTGGCTTTCCTCATTAACTGTGCAGGAGTTCTGGTCCTCATCTTGAGCATCCCTTCCTGCCTGCAGAGTGGAAGACAGTGCACTGCTCAGCCCCATGAAGAAGCTTGTCGCATTTGTATTCAGTGAAATTGAAAACAATAATTAGTTTATACCATATCAACACATATTTAAAAAGCCTACATCTCCAAAGAGAAAAATCATACACACAAATGAAACTGGAGAGTTTAAATGTCAGGACAATGTTATGGGTCACTCAGAATAGGAACCAGATCAGCCAGGTTGGAATTTGGAAAGCCGTTTATTACTGAGCTCAGGGCCCCCC